CATCACATCAGTTACACATCCACTGTTTGACATATTGCTATACTAGTGTCTATTGTATTCTGCTGCCTTTCCTATCCTCCTCCCTCCTGCTCTCCTCCCTCCTCCCTCCTGCTCTCCTCCCTCCTGCTCTCCAGGCCCCAGCCCTCAGCCTCCCAGGTGCATCCCAGAACACCTTGCGTTCTTCCCCAAGTCAAGTCCCACCCACGCTGTCCCCCCACCCCCACACCCTTCCCCTGGCTCTTCTGGCCAATGCATCACCTGCAATGTCCCCTCCTCCAAGCCACCCACATCGACTCCCCTGGACCGTGGAAAGCCCACTCCTGTGGCCCCATAGCCGTGCTGCACTGCCCGGGCATTTCCCGTTGTTTCCCACACTCTGCCTCGCCCTTCTCTGTGCCTGTGTCTTACTCTCCCCAGGGAGGCAGAGGGCCAGGAACACTCTCTCCAGGAGCCGAGCATCCCATCTGCACTGGGCTGGGTGGCTGTGCCCATGGTGGTCCTTGTTGGGAAGGGCCTGCCCCTCCCCAGCACACAGTCCTCGGGTCATTGATTTCCCGCTCCTCCTCCTTCGCGTCTGACACAGCATCAACGCCGACAGCCAGCAGGTTTCCTCGGTCATTCCCCGAGGATCTGAGGAGCTGGGGGCCTGGGTCCAGACGGTCTTTCTGGAAGCCGGTCCACCGCTCCTGGTCTGGCTGGCTCACTAAGGAAGTCTCTTCCCTTGCCACAAGTTGTCCTCAGCTCACTGGGCCCTTGTGATAGGTGGCCGTCACCCTGGGTCCGCGATGCGGGGGTCTGCTCTGCCCACTTGGCCAGACTCGGGGTCAGCCCCGTGTGGCGAGGCCAGGGCTGCCCAGCCTTGCCGAGCAGGGGAAGGGGAGCCTTCTTCCGGTATCCAGTGCAGGCATCTCTGCCCGGGGTGTCTCAGAGACTGACCCGTCCACGACTGAGGTCAAGGCTTCAACGTGTGCGTTGGGAGGCAGGGGCGACCACCTGTGGCCTCACAACACGGCGGGAGGAGCCTCCGTCCCATCTCTGCCCCCAGAGCTCACGGGTCAGACATTGCCAGAGGTAAAATGATCAGATTATGAGAGCCCCAACCGATCAGTGGCTTACCCCATGGATATGCATGTCCATAAGTGGATCGATCCACTGAATGGATCAACCGGTGACTGTAGGCCCGTCGGTGTGGCTGGAGGAGGTGCGTCACTGGGGCCGTGCCTTGGGGGTTTATGTCCTGTCCTTAGTGAGTGGGCTCTGACTCTGGTCCCTGTCTCTCATGTCCTAAGTGGCTTTTCTTGACCCTGTTCTTTGCCACAGGTTCTGCCTCACCTCAGGCTCAGATATGGACTGATCCCCTGAAACAGGAGTCCCAGATAAACTTTTTCCTCCTCCAAGTTGCTCTTCTCAGGTCTTTTGTCACAGTCATGAAAAACTGAAACGCTTCCTCCCACTCGGAGGGCTCCTGAGAATGTGACAACCTGGCCAACTCGAGGAGCCAGGAGAAGGGACGCTTTCCCCGGAAAGCAATCATCGCTTGCTCTCAGGATGACATTTGAGGGTTTTCTTGACTTTTCTGAGACCCACTTGAACCCAAATGGAAAAGCAGCGCCCATCTGCTTCTCCTCTCGTTTCTTTGTCTGGTCTAATTTCACTGTCATGATGCAGGGGAGCTTCCATAGAAACCAGAGCGCTCAAGATTTCCTCTTCAATATCATATCCTCCAAGAGAAGTCGGATTTCAAATGGAGAGTCCCCAACGGCCATACCACCAGAAATTAGGAATCGACCTCCCAGGAATCCATTTTTTATTTATTTATTTTTTAGATTTTCTTTTCACGGAAGCCTGTGCTCTGGTCATGTGCCTGGACACATCTTGCAGATACCTGTCCCCACCAAAGAGAAGAGGCACTGTTCCCAGAGCCACCGTGTCCCCAGAGCCACCCAGCATTCCTGGCTCTGGATACCGGAGCCACATCACGGAAAGGAACACGGATTCCATTCACGT